ACACACAGAACTAGACCCTATATACACCACTGCAAAGGAAAACCGAAAATAAGGTCATCAAATCCAACGGACCCCAGAGTTAAAATAACAGGCGGGAAAACACAACGACGCTTCATCGGAGGCTGCACTGATGATGCTACCCAGCAGGGTAATGAAATGTCTGCAAACTAACGAACCAGCTCGGCGAGCAAAACAACCACAAAATCCACAACTCAAGCTACAGATCTACTTAAAAACCTTAAAGAATGTAACTATTGTCTTATAGGAGAACTACCTGTACCTAGATACATTCGTACCCGGGATGGCACCGCAAGTGGTGACTTGTAAACCTTTCCCTGTACTTGTGACAATAAAGCTAATACTAATTCAAAGGAATGTCAGGGGCCTTGGGCAAGGAGAAAGGAGGTAAAATGCCAAGTATGCATCAGCTACCCAAGTTTCCTGTGAAGACAGAATGGGGTAATGTTGGCTGAGCAGTGGATTAGGTTAACACAGGAGTATCAGTCAGTCTCTTCTGGATGGTGAAAAGGGTAGGGAAGGGAAGATGTGTTTGATGGTGGCCTACACTGGAGGTGACAGAACTGCTGGAAGATAATCTGTTGCCTGTGGATCCTGGTGGAGTGGGAGGGATTGGACATGGTGATGCATTTTCGTGGTTCTGAGATAGCAGGTTAAGGTGCTGGACGGCCTGAGAAATGAAATGGACCCAGTAGAGTACCATGTCACCCACAGTGAGGGGGGTATCCTTGGTTAAGAAAAAGAAATATTGGAAGTTGGCATATTCAGCAAAGATACGGCAAAGATAGAAACTGGGAGAAAGGAAGAGAGTGTTTATAGGATATGGGGCAAAAGGAAGTGTAATGCATTGTGGGAGTTAGTGTGTTTGTAGTGACTGTTAGTTGACTTCCTCCAAATCTAGGGATAGGTTAAGAAGCCCAGGAAGAGAAGGCAACAAAAAGTTAAAAAAAAACAGAAGGAAAATCAAAAGACATTTTCCAGTTCAGGACGAGGGCATGAAATGGCACTAATATAGTCAATGTGCTAGAAAAATAATGAGATGGCTCTGCTACGCACCACCTGTGTTGGGCTGTAACAAAAAAGTTCCACATTTCCCGCAAAAAGACCAGCATAGTTGAGGTAGCAAGACATTCATGGTAACAAGAAGCTTTCAATTCACAGGAACTAAATGGAGTTGAAGGGGAGATTGTCCAACATGGGAATACTCAATTGAGCAGAGGATATAAAAGAAAGAGACAGGAACAGCCAGGAAATTGGGAACTGTTGGTGACAGGGACAAAGGAAGTGTCACCAAAGGAAGTGAGAAGAGATTAGACAAGGGGAGGGAGGGGGAATAAAAATGTTGAAGTAGTTCAGTTGTGCAGGAGATCTGAAGCAAGGGATCTGCCAGAGCAGCTCTTTATGTGAATCTTGGAAAGAAGGTATAAACAGACTGTTTGGGATGGGAGGCAGTGGAGGGAAGCTATCCAAAGGGGGTAAGGCCAATGGCAGTCCTGAAAACAATAGCTAGATGGTGGGGTTATCGTCCAAGGAGAAGCAAGAGTAATCGTCAGAAGGTTGGGGCTCAGCATCTGGGATATCCTGGTGCAGTCCTTAATCACCTTCAACATCTCTCTACGCAAATACACAAGATACAATACCTGTCATTATGCTTCCAACTTTTTCAACATCCCAGAATCCTAACCATTCTTTATTGCTGCCAATTCATTTTAGTATACTCGCTGTTTAGGATGTAGCTCCCTCTACACAGGAAGGCCAAATGCAGACTGAGAGACTCCTCCTTTTCAGATTTCCTCTGTTCAGTCTTTAAGCCCAACACCAAGCTTCCAGTGATAGCAGGAACTGCAGATGCTGGAGAATCTGA